ATTTGATTAACCAAAAGCTGCATGGGAGCCATGCCATATAAATGGTGGATCGATTTACTCTAGGTCTGTTGACAGCTACATGGGAGCCATGCCATATAAATGGTGGATCGATTTACTCTAGGTCTGTTGACGACTACATGGGAGCCATGCTATATAAATGGTGGATCGATTTACTCTAGGTCTGTTGACGGTTACATGGGAGCCATGCCATATAAATGGTGGATCGATTTACTCTAGGTCTGTTGACGGCTACATGGAAGCCATGCCATATAAATGGTGGATCGATTTACTCTAGGTCTGTTGACAGTTACATGGGAGCCATGCCATATAAATGGTGGATCGACTTACTCTAGGTCTGTTGACGGCTACATGGGAGCCATGCCATATAAATGGTGGATCGATTTACCCTAGGTCTGTTGACGGCTACATGGGAGCCATGCCATATAAATGGTGGATCGATTTACCCTAGGTCTGTTGACGGCTACATGGGAGCCATGCCATATAAATGGTGGATCGATTTACTCTAGGTCTGTTGACGGCTACATGGGAACCATGCCATATAAATGGTGGATCGATTTACTCAAGGTCTGTTGACAGTTATATGGGAGCCATGCCATATAAATGGTGGATGGATTTACTATAGGTCTGTTGTAATTTTGGTTGAAACTTACTCGAATTTCTTAAATTAGGTTTAATACATCTGAGCATCAATTAATCTTAGTGTTGAAACACTATTTTAAATGCTAGGTAGGGGCAGAATATGATTCTCTGATTTAACAGCCTGGCATGCCCTGGCGGCTAGGTCGTTCGACTCGCAATCTTAGGGTCATGGGTTCGAATCCCCGTCACAGAACATGCTCGCCCTTTCAACCGTGAGGGCGATACAATGTGACGGTCAATTCCAATAATTGTTTGTAAAGAGTAACCCAAGAGTTGGCGGTGGTGGCATTGATAGCTGCCTTCCCTCTAGTCTATTACTGCTAAAGTAGGGACGGCTAACGCATTTTATTAGCTCGATTAGCTTTGCGCGAAATTCCAAACAATCTATACATTATAAAGTAAGCAGTGTTTGCGGATGGACTTTCAGAATGGACGAGGATCTGGCATTTTGTTTTTTGTTCACCCTTCTTCTCCACTAACATATACTAATACACAATATTCAGAAGTAGTCCTATCATCTTCCAATAACGTTAAGGATATCCCTCTTGTACGGACATATTTTACTTTATAAGGACACATCCTGGTAACGAGAATAAAAAATACTGTATTACTTATACGTGTAAAGATATGATTGGATAAAAATGACAGTCAGTGATGACTTTGTCGAATAAATAATTGAGAATCACTACAACAGCTAGTAGCGTCAATTATTGTTTTTTTTCTTTTTTGTATTTATACATATAAAAAATTAACATTAAAATGGAGTAAAAACTAACAGCTTCATTGTGTTTATTTTTTCTATTGAAAATCAGAACACATCAGACAAGCAGAAAAGAGAAAAACAGCAAACGCAAAGTTCACTTCCAAATATATAACTTCTGAAAAAACAATATTTACTCACAGCTACTTCCCGGATATTTTGGGCACTGACAATGTTTGGCCGCCATGAGAGTAAAAATATTAAGTCATCAGTACTGGGAATGGTATTACATCGAAATTCTTTAAAACAATTCATTCCTCCCTTCGTACAGAATTGTATGAGAAACCTGTCATTTTGAGTGTTTTAAACCCCAATGTTTAAGATGTCCGTGTTTTTAAAATCAGGTACTTATTAGTTCGTAAGAGAACGGAAGGAAATGAAGGAACTGATGAAATATAAAAATGAAGAAAACTGTCCAAAGACCTGGAAAGAAGAAAATTCAGTGATAAATTAAGATAATATAGCAGTTTTACTGTGTCTTAATTCTATCGTCAAACACCTCAACACTCTACTACTAAAACAAACTACGAAATGTGGAAGTTCGCCTCTCTCTAAGTTAGTACCTAAACGCTATAACAATAAACTTATTGTGAACATCCCAACCCAATCAACCAGCACCTAAACGATATACTGATACAACTATTACAACCCGTGAACAACTCATCCCATCATCTAGGGCCTAAACGTTTAAACTACTGTTTTCCAAACTGTGGGGGCGTCAAAGAAAATTATTTCAATGTGTGTGTGGTGGGGGGGGGCACAATGTTAATTTTCCTGAGTTAGGGGACGCCGCTATTTAAAGTTTGGAAAACACTGGTTTAAACAATAATGCTATTACAAATTGTTAAAAGTCTCTAACTCCGTACGTATTGTATGCATACAGAAGGCCTACTTTATTACGAAAAACGTCAAGTTATGTAATAACATTGCACAATAAAACTGAAACACAGTTACTTTGTACATAACAGTGCACGTTCAGTTGGTAAAATATTCTGCTTTCCTCTTTTGATAAATTTCCTTTCTAGTTTTTTACCTTTTTTTAACGTACGTAGGATGGAGGGGATAACTTGTAATACCGCTAGGTTGTTTGTTCTATTTTAGCAAATCATACACAGTTCAACAAAGCTGATGATGTAACTAAAACACATTTATGCACATTTACACCAGTAACCACAACTTATGATAACTTTAACAAGTGTAACCAACACTTAATCTGTTAATTACAACTATAACACGGTTTACTGACATCTACACAAGCAACCAGTGTTTAATTTGTTTAATCTGTTAATTACAACTATAACACGGTTTACTGACACCTAAACCGGCAACCAATGTTTAATCTGTTAATTACAACTATAACACGATTTACTGACACCTACACCAGCAACTAGCACTTAACCTGCTCACTCTGTTAACTATAAGTGTAACACACTTTACTGATACTTACACCAGCACTTATCCTGCTCAATCTGTTAACTATAAGTGTTACACACTTTACTGACACTTACACCAGCAAACAGCACTTGATATGCTTATTCTGTTAAATATAAGTGCAACACACTTTGTGAGATAGCAAATTCAATTTTTTTTAATGATTATCGCTGTGTTTATCGTTCATTTATTATTTCCTTCTATCGTTTAGTTTATTTATGAATTTTTAGTTGCATTAAAACACTAACTCACCTTCTACATAGTCAATTGTATTTTGAGTAAATATGTATGTATGATGAAACTGACGCCAGCTTTCCTGGCGATGACGTACAGATACTATTAATGTAGCAGAAGAGTATGTAAATTTATGATCACATGAGGTTGTACTCTCGTGATCTACTCAGTGAATAAATACCCTGCCAGAAACTTCACTTTTTTTTTCTTTTGGAATTAGGTTTTTTTCTTTCTAGTTCTTTTCCTGATTCCATTATTATTGATTTATTAATATTTATGATAAATTGTTTATTAATATTGGTGTGAAGTTCTGGCCAAGCACTTGTTTATTAACTGTGTTGAATTTCTTTCTAAGTGTTGTTATTGTGAATAAATTGTGTTTTTGTTGTTGAACCCTGATTGTAGCGACGTGTTCATTTTAGACCGTTACAACTTAACTAACACTTACACCAGCAACCAGCACTTGAGTTCTCTGGTAGCTTTTACCTTCTGTAATAAAAATAGCTATAGTTGAAGCTTGGTAAAGAATAACAGCAGTAACATGGTACATCACCCCCTGAAATGACAGAAAAAAGAAATAAAAATAGTTTTACAGAGTTTGAAAACAAATCAACAACAGAATACTTCACGCCTTATGGCGCATACATGTAAGAGTTTATTTGGTTTAAAAATATTACAATTTGTGACAGTCCAAAATGTTTTTACTATTTTGTATTAAGCTAAAACAGAACATCGAATGCCGAAGCATAGAATTCCTCGTCGTGAACTACAAAGTAATTCATTTAGGCTTATAGAATGATAAACGATGAATCCTGAAACACGAAGCACTACTTCCTGTTTGAACATTAGCTGTTAAACATAAAGAGAATAGCATGACGACTGAACCGTTAACATAACTTTCACAACTTTGGAGAGTAAGCGAAATATTACAGTGACCCTAGAATCAAATGGGTTATATTTTATCATTGACCGATACCAATGTCTACTATCAGTTATTTCATATTTCATTTCTTTCAAAAGATAAAGAACTGGATCAGTCAAACTAATTCACTTCTGTGATCTTAACAATTTTCGGGCTTTTATTTATTTATTTATTTTTCGTTAAAAGGACATAAGTGTGATTAATATACTATAAAAAAATAAATAACGAGTTTTGGCTGTGTTAATAAATTCATGAACTATTTTGAAAGTGTATGTTTTTTAAGTGAATAACAATTTTGAATAGCCACGTGCTTTACATTGTTGACATAAGAATATAGATATATATAAATATATATATATATATATATGGTTCTAATAAACTTGTTTTAACATTTAAACTTATGAGCTATTACATACGTAGAGAGAGTTGAAAAAGAATACGCTGCTATAAGTTGAAAAGACTGAGGCCAGGACGATTAAGCTGGTAGTCCAAGTAGCCCAGAAGGCGAACAAAATCAACACCAGTTCTTCTGTTGTTAAACATAAAATACCATGGACTCTGAAGTGTGGCTGAGAGATTAGCAGAATAACAACCAAGAATCCACAAGCCTGCAAGTCACAAAAATCACGTGAATCTAGGTCACGGTTAAACCTATTCTTGATATGTTTATATAATTATAACACATTAAAATTAGACTTAGTAACGCAGTGCAAATACTGGAATTTAAGTCACGGGTAAACCTGCTTTTGATCTATTTATATAATTATAACACATTTAAATTACACTTAGCAACACAGTACAAATACTGTTTAGGTTTAAAATTACTTACTAAGGGGTAGCTTACTTTGGATTATTTTTATTGCATAATTTATTTCAATTATTTTAATGTGTTTGTTTGAAGTTAAACAGAAAGCTATACAATGGGATATGCGAAAAAAATTCCACAAACCTACTGCTAACCCACTATAGGAGAATAACAGTTAGTTTGTTTTGTTTTGAATATCGCGCAAAGCTACAAGAGAGCTACCTGCGCTAGCCGTCCCTAATTTAGCAGTGATATACTAGAGAAATGGCAGTTATTCAACAGCACCCACCGCCAACTCTTGGGCTACTCTTTTACCAACGAATAGTGGGACTGACCCTCACATTGTAACGCCCCCACGGCTGAAAGGGCGAGCATGTTCGGTGACGGGGATTCGAACCCGCGACCATCAGATTGTGAGTCGAGCGTCTTAACCAATAACAGTTAGAGTCGAAATATAGTATATATGTTTTCTTTTGTAAGGTAAATTTTGATCTGATCCTATAAGTATAACACGTGACATTTTCTAATGAATTCCATCAAAGGTTTTGTCCAGAACTGACAAATTATATATCTATCTATACGCACATATATAATGACGCACAGTACACACCATATATAAGTTACAATGTCTACCATATTTTATAGTAAATGACTGACGATCTACCTATATGGGCACAAGAAGAACAACAATAAATATGTTGGATCTCTATATATACCACACTGTTTTTCTTAGCCTAAAAGTATGAAGAAGTTTTGTCAAACAAACTCAGCTCTTAACTGATTGTGTTCAGATTATAAAATAATCTAAAGGTAAAACTACCAATTTAAAAATACCAAACTAATCTATGCATTTCCAGTGTGTAACGAAAAGTTTCCAGTGTGTAACGGAAATTGTTAAAACTATTTGTATACTTACGATCTGAGCCAGCTGGATGACACCTTCTCTACGCCTTAAGAAGGCTGTATTCGAATTTTGTAGTCTATTACAAAAGCTATCTTGGGTTGTATTTGGGTCCATAGCTTACCTGTCTAATTATAATAAATATAAAAATAATAATTTTGTGTCAGGCACTACCAACCTAAAAGTCAGTTTTCACGGTTTGCCTGTAGAGTGCAGAGCTGACAAATCTCACGTACAATGCTACACGAATAACCTGTTACTGGCTCATTAAATTTTGAGCTCTCTTGTGCTTCTACAGCAGTAGACACGCAAACACGAACGAGTGGTGATGCACGAGCTTCTTTGGCTCGACTTTCCTGCGGAAGTCAGCTAGTTATTCATCCACACAACTTTCGTCATGTTGAAAATTTCAGAAACCGGATGTACAGAACTTTGCTGTGTACGCACACAGGAAGTCACGATAAAATATATCAAGTTTGCAGATGACCTTTGAAAAAATAAAATATAAATACATATATATGCGTGTGTATTCGCGTTTTTTTTTATTTTTCATTCCTACAATGTTATCGAAAATATACATTTCTTCATATTTAACAGTCACTAAATAAAACACTTTTAATTAATATTTGCTTTGACAGATTGTTATGCCTCCAGTATACAGGGAAAATGTGAGGACTGTCAAACAGAATTTGTAGAATATAATACATTATAAAAACATATTTCATGATACAGTTAAGAACAGTCGAACATTTTTGACATATCTGGTGTATTGATTTATTTGTTTTCATAAATTGAAAGCGTTGTGTAATGAACGTTAATATATTCGGTAAAAAGACTTGAGTTGATGGAATTAAACGGTTGATCAATGCATCTGCTATAATTTCGAGTTATATTTATCTATCCCATCGCATATTTCCAATAGCAAAACAGAATCGATGACACAAAATTTGATGCGCCACAATGTTTAATACTGTTTTAAGCTATATTTCTTAATGTTGTAACTCGTTTGTTAGTTAGAGGGAGCTGGGATCTTCATGATAACGTTAAGTAGACCTAGAAAAAATTAACTTTACATCAAGTTTTTCTCGTAAATTCAAAGGTATATTATAAGCACGAGGAACCTGTGAAATGTGTAGAATTATTTCAAGATAAAGAGTTGAATCATTCAGTGCGTTTTCATTAAATATTTGGATCTTTATTTCCTATTGTGGTTTTTGTGATACTTTGTACAAGTAAGTTGGTTTTATGTTAGTCCTAGTATTGTTAGAAAGTTATGAACGTCATTTATAAAGTAGGCCTACAACAAGTTACGACAGTGTATAAGTGTTCAAGCTTGTAGAAACATTAAAGGAGGAAATAAAAGTATTTTTTCTCGTCATTTGAGCTGAACCTTGAATTATTTTCACCAGATAATTTAAAAAATATCACCAACGAAACAACTACGTTATAATTCTAGTGTCAGGAGTTGGATGTAACTTTAGTAAAAATAAGATATAACTTTGTCTAAACTTCAACTTCCATTTAAGATGACCACAAATAACAACCTGAGATAGGAAACCTACTAGAAATGATATTAGAATTGAAAGAAAAATAGACAGAAGGAGACAGAGCATTTAAAGAAGAACAATAAGAAAGAGACTGAAAATTAGAGGAAAGAGGTGAAGAATTAAAAAAAGACGACGAAGAAATTTACAGAAAATTCACTGATGACCAAGGAGAACGTGGAAGAATTTTAAGAGAGAAATTAAGAAAAAGAGGTGTAATATTTAAAAAATAATTAGAATAAAAAATACATTTATTTTATGGTGACAAAAGGGGAGATTACAATAACAATTTTGAAGAAATGTAAAACAACGTAAAGACATCAACGATGTACAAAAGAGCATTAATGATGTAGAAGCTTGTAAAAATATTAAGGAATAAATGAACTAGATTGCAATCATTTACGTGGACTGGACTTTGAGTTATTTTCAACAGGTAATTTAAAAGCTCCTGTCAACGAAAGAATAACATTACAACAGTTTTAACAATAGAAATTGCATTCCATTATTAGTTCACCATAAAATAATATTAACAATACAAATTATATTCCTTTATCCCTTCATCACAGATTTATATTAACGATCAAAATCTAATCAGGTTTAGAACTTGACCCTAGTGGCACAGCAGAATGTCTGCAGACTTACAAGCTAGAAACCGGGTTTTCGATACCCACGGTGGGCAGAGAAAAGATAGCTCATTGCGTAGCTTTGTGCATAACTTCACACAAACTTTAGAAGTTATTGACTAGTAAGCCTAGAAAGTCAACTGAATGTTAATGCAAAATTTTCTATTTCCTTTTAAGAACATAAACATTAATTTTGATACTAAGCCTGATTTGTATAGGAATAACCAAGGAATTAATTGTAACTCAGTGTCCTTGATATTTTGTTTACCCGTATATAAAAAAGAAACACGTTTTTGGTTTTATTAAGCTTAGATTCCATAAACTTCACAATCTCTAATGATTCTTAAGTGCATTAGAAAAATAAGCGATGCTAGAATACAAAATTATACATTGGGCTATCAGCTGCATCCACCCCAGGGAATCGAACCCCAGATTTTAGCGTTGTGAGGCCATAAACGTATCGCTAACCCACCAAGAGACACAAGAAAATGTATCGATACAGTCGTGAGCGATATTTGAAGAATTGACTAGAGAGCGGATCACTGTAAGAAACGTTATCATCATACAGTATTTGAAAAAGTTACAATAAACAAATAAATAAAGCGAGAACACCATATAAGATTGTGTTCACAAATTATGGAACCCGGAGTCGCAAATAATTATTAGTAAATATTTGGCCACGACAATCCACTAGTAATTGTTTCGTTGTGAAGAGCACATTTCCTATTATAGAACATTCGAAAGCTGATTCCAAGTTAACCTAGAAAATGTTCCAAGAAATGTGTCCGTAAAATTCATTTCACAAAACAGAGAGATAATTAGCTATTTCAAAGCAAAGTGGCCAGGTGGTTAGGGCGCTCGACTTGCAATCTGAGGGTCGCGGGTTCGAATCCCCGTCACACCAAACGTGCTTGCCCTTTCAGCCGTGGGGGCGTTATAATTTGACTATCAATCGTTGGTAAAAGAGTAGCCCAAGAGTTGGCGGTGCGTGGTGATGACTAGCTCTTTCCTCTAGTCTTACACCGCTAAATTAGGGACGGCTAGCGCAGATAGCCCTCGTGTAGCTTTGCGCGAAATTCAAAAACAAACAAACAAACACCACGAGCAATCGAACCCCGTATTTTAACGCTAGAAGTTCGTAAAGTTATCGCTAACCTACCACGGGACAAAATCTCTAATGGTTTGTTTGTTTGTTTCTCATTAAGCACAAGCAACACAATGGACTATCTGTGCTCTGATCACGAAATCCATAACAAACAAAGTCAAAGCCTAACTCTATCTACGTATGTGCTGCGCTTAATTAAGAGGGAAATGTTACTTTTAAAACCATGTTATGAAAATAAAAGTGTTTTAAGTACTCCTTGAAATAGCATTAACGCGTTAAATCAACTTAGACTTCAAGATTTTAAAAGTTTATGAAAAGATAGGGTTTAATATATTTATCAATTTATGTACTTTTTAATGTATTTGTAAAGTGTTTAATACTCGTACAACTATTTAATAAAATTTAATTCAGGAAAAAAACAAAGATGATCATGTTCAACATGTCTGCGCATGAGTAATACATACAACCGAAAACTGTCACCCACGTGATTTCTGGCATATGTGTAGAAGTACACCAGTAAACAGCGCACGTCATTATCTAGGTGGAGTACCCAACTGTTGCGCTACCTATTGGCAAAAGCCTGAAAATAGGCCGAGGAACCAGCCCACATCCTGAGTACAGGGAGTTGGTTGTTATAAGAAGAGGTAGGACAAGGGTTGAATTTTACCGGTTGTTTAGACTGTATTTCTGGTTCTTTTAATTTCGAACACCGGTGATAACCATGTCTCACACCGTAACAGTTACTCGCACCACCACCACTGCTGGAACTTCGTCTGGTATTATTATCCACTCAGGATATCTCCGGACGTTTCCTGGAATCTTGCAACTCCTGGAGACAGTAAGTTTTGAATTTTGGGTACTTAAGCCTTTTTTGTTTTACCGTTGTATCTCGAGAGGCGCGCCTCCGTCCATCATTGGACCTCCCTTTAGATTTAAATATTACCTAGTAGTAATACTAGCATCCTTTAAGCGATAAATTCAGTACTTCATGTTTTTTTGTAATAACTTCATTGTTATCTAATCTTGTTTTGCGTGTAATTATGTGTACAAATTTATATACATGTATTTGCTATTATAACTTGAATGTGCATCCGGAACTCTTGTAAAGGAAACATTTTCTAAGCTAGAGTGACAGTTTGTAAATATGATCACCTTATTTTCTAAGGACACATTAATAATACTGACGTTAAAGCTAGTGCTAAAATGATGTATTAGATTACGAAATTGTTCATCAGTGTTTATTTTCTGTTTATATATATTCCATCACCACGACAGTGAATATGCTAATTGCCTAATTGTAAAGTTTTATTTGATTTGTAGTGTTTAAAACTGACATTTAGCACTGAGCGGGGTTGTGTTAGAAAATACAGCGCTGTCTTAGATTCAGTGTCGTCTGCTGTCAACCACGCCCTAGGCACGTGCAATGTGTTGACCAAACTATTACGTCAGAACGCCTTCGCTTTCTATATTTGTTTGTGAACTTTTGTGCACCTTTTTTTTGCCCCATAGAATCTTTACATGCAACGAAACAAAATCACCGTTAAGACAAAACTTTGAAATAGACATTTATTTTATTTAGCGACGTCTCCTAGCAACTGCTTTTCATCAGGCTTAATAATAAATGTTCTTTTCCTTTTGTAGCTAATCGTTCTCTCCCCCCCCTCTAATTATAATTTTGTACGTATGAAATAAAAAGAATTATTGCTCTAAACGTTCAGGTGACTTTTAATTATCATTCATTAACCTAGTTGAACGTACAGTACAAAATTTAAAATAAAATAAAATTATAATTTGTAGGATATGAGTATAATTTAAAAAAGAATAATTATGCCAATACTTATGTCTTCAAACTAACGTCCAAATCAGTTTTGGCAGTTCAAAAAATCGTTTCGGCTAACTGTAGCAAACCTTAAACTTAAAGATACGTGTGTATATATATATATATATATATATATTTATCATCCTGTTTTTGCTCGTGGTTAAGAAAGGCCCACCTATTAAAAATAAACGTGATAAGATTTTATTGGGGTTTTAATGCGATTTTTGAAACTGATTTCTGCTAACAGAACTAAGTACAGAACTCGATAATTCTTTTCTTTTGAACAGTTAACGGTTTCTCGCGTGCCATGGGCATCGTCAAGTCTCGTGTCGGTGAGAAAGTGGTATTTTGTTGTGAATTAATTTTTTTTTTGTTTTCTTAAATGTTCTTCATCGCCACTTTAGTTAATTTTCTTTCACTGGTAAAAAAAAAAAACTTATTTGGTGGTTGGCTTGTTTGTTGTTAAGCGCGAAGTTACACAATGGGCTATTTGTTCTTTTCCCATCGCGGGTATCGAAACCTGATTTTTAGCATTATAAGCCCTCAGACTTAACGCTAAGTCACCGGGAGGCTTGTTGATTGACCAATTAATTTGACCATTCTAATTGATTAATGGCTTGCAGTGAATTTCTTCAAACAGTCTTGTAAAGAACGGTGGGTTTTTCACCAGAAGCACCTAGTGTACTTTGTCAGTGTAAATACCCCAGTTAATTAATGGTTTGTGGCCTAGTGGTACTTGGGACTAGTACCGAATTTTATTTCAGCAGCTTAGTCGTTTTTTATGTTTGAAAAAAAAACAAAAAAAACGGTCTACTTCACACAGCTCAGTACCTCTACCTTTTTTTTTTTTAGTTTCACCCCTGGGTTTATGTATGATTTTTTTACACTGGTAAAAAAGAGCGGGAAAGAGACTAGGTCTGAAGTTCGTGATATCTCAAACACGTGCTTCATCTGCTGTAATAAATAGTCTTATTTCTATACTGTAGTTTGCTTTGTGTTGAGTCACTGGGTCAAATTGTCATTACCTGAAACAGATGTTGCCGAAAACGATGCTTGTTTTATGTAAGTTACCGTAACCCTCGAACAACTATGTGATTCACGTCAGTTTTAAAGGGTGTGATGATAGTTGAATTAGGCGATTGACCAGTGCAGTGGAATAACAAAACATAGGATCTCTTCTCGAGATAAAAATAAACTGTCACTCGTGTCGTGTATTAAGGCAGCTGCGAAACTTTTTGAAAAACTCGTTAATTGATTTATACAGACAACAAAAGAAAACTCCAGAAATTGAAGGCATATCGTTATCAAAATGATCTTTAAGGAATCGGTGTGAAAACTCCAGAAATTATGCCTTCAATTTCTGGAGTTTTCACACCGATTCCTTAAAGATCATTTTGATAACGATATGCCTTCATCGTTATCAAAATGATCTTCAAGGAATCTGTGTGAAAACTCCAGAAATTGAAGGCATATCGTTATCAAAATGATCTTCAAGGAATCGGTGTGAAAACTCCAGAAATTGAAGGCATATCGTTATCAAAATGATCTTCAAGGAATCGGTGTGAAAGTTGCTTTGTCTTCTTCATAAACAACTTATAATACTGGTTGACCTGCAAGAATCCTGTAAATCGAGAGATGTTAACGACAACTGAATTGACTAAAGCTAAAAACTTGGGGAAAAGTACGGGAGCTTATGACATTAGAAACTTTTGTCTATTTGGTCTCTGATAGCCTAAAAGTTTAAGTGTTAATTTCCTTCTCTGTATTAAAGAGGTCACCAAGTTGAGCAGTACGTTAGGTGTTAGGATGTGTTATGGAAAACTTAAACAAGAGTGGGAAATAAATATAATATGTCGGAGAGTAGAACGAAGCTGAAGGATTTAGTAAAAAGTCAGGATTTAAGCCCAATGGTGTAATAAGACTTCTCTTTTTGTTTTTTAAAGCTCAGGTTTTTGGTCTCCTTTCATGACTGTGTAAAAACACATCCCATTTTGCTCAGCAGGTGGCACCTCTCAAGGTTGAGAGGTCAACCTCGTTTATAAGATTAAATTAGGGATTAGATTAAATACCTCTAGGGTTACTATATACTGAAAATTAGGGCTAGAGAGAGAGAGTCTGATATTCGCTGGTGTAACATCTCATGCGCGTCCTTGAACTGCTGATATATTGATAGACTTTTAAAGACTCCGTTTTAAAGTTTGTGCTGTTAGATACAATCACTGAGGAGACTTGTTATTGACTGACCTTAACTGAAGTTCTACAGACGAAACTCAAGTTGCCCGCAAACACTTCCTTGTCTAAAGCTACTTTCAGTACAAGCTATCCATAATTACAGTATCCTGAAGTTGGCAACGCTTCCTTGTCTAAAGCTACTTTCTCTACAAGCTATCCATAATTACAGTATCCCGAAGTTGACAACGCTTCCTTGTCTAAAGCTACTTTCACTACAAGCTACCATCCATAATTACAGTATCCTGAAGTTGGCAACGCTTCCTTGTCTAAAGCTACTTTCACTACAAGCTATCCATAATTACAGTATCCTGAAGTTGACAACGCTTCCTTGTCTAAAACTACTTTCTCTACAAGCTATCCATAATTACAGTATCCCGAAGTTGGCCAACGCTTCCTTGTCTAAAGCTACTTTCACTACAAGCTATCCATAATTACAGTATCCCGAAGTTGGCCAACGCTTCCTTGTCTAAAGCT